AAAACTGTTACATAAAATACAAACTTTACTCCTAAATAGTTTCTTTTTTCTTAAAATCTTCTATTTTCTCTCTCAACTCAGCGTTGTCCACAATTTGACTCTCGTCTAACGGCAGCCGACTGAAAGGATCTATTCGATCATTAAGCATTATCTGATTAAATGTCGATCTGTCAATGGTTATCTTCGACGTCAGCATCAGCACTGGGTTTTCCATTATTGTAAAAGTGAGTGGATCAAGAAACTCTTCAGGGACATCATCATTGATAATGTCATCATTGATATCATTTTCCGATGTCTTTTCAGGCAATACCTTGTAAATCTCAGTAAGATCTAGAACCTGATCTTCCGTTATAAGATGCTTGGTCTTTACTAAATCTAATGCTCTTTCAAGCAGAGTTTTATCAATTCCTGATGCTTGTGTAAGCTTAGTGTTATTCTTAAGAATATTAATCACTATTGAAATAACCATCCTTAGAATTTCCTTTGGATGAAACTGATACTCTTCCTTGTTCTGCAGTTTGATTTTCAGTGATTGTTCTCCAACCAGCAAATTTAGTGATGAGTTTATGATCGAGAACATTCTAAAGAACACGTGCTTATTAAGAAACAGTTTTTTGTTAATTTTTGTAAAGTTTTGTAAAAATTTTAACAAACTGTCCAAATAAATGGCAGAGCTTTTTAGAATTCGTTCATGCTTTTCAATTCTTAATGCATTTACCTTAATCTTTTTGTAAAGACGGACTTTGAAAGGGTTCGTCCTAATTTTTATCTGAGTTTTGATTTCTTGGACTACTGCGTCAACCTTGGAGGGTATCACCTTGTTCTTGATTGTTTCTAGCAGCTGGGAATCGCTCAATAGGGACATAGCTACTAGGAAATTCTCAGGATACATTTGTATTTCTTCCTCATCTTCACTGACATACAAGTCCTCATCAGTTCCCTTGAAAATCTCATTTAATCTTAGCTCCTTATCTTTATAAGCCTTAATATTCATAATGCTGTCAAAAATCAAGCTTAGCCTTTCTTCAAAAGAACCAAGAGCAAAACTGATCATCCTGAGAGAATCCTTGGAGGCCTCTAGTTCGCAATCTTTGAAGATTTCATGAATGGCAAACCTGTCATTATAGATATCCTCATCAGACTTATCAGTGTAGTGTAATACAATTCTTCTAACCGTAACGGGCGATAATAAAAGCGGGGATTTCCGAAGAATGTGCAGACAAGGTCTTTTAAATGTGTTTTTATAGCCAAGTATGCCGTTAATGAGAACTCTGGCACTTCTGCTGATAGTCTTACAGGACAAAATAGACTGTACGGAGAGTATTGTGTTAATGAAAGAATGATCAGATAAAACTTCCCTAACGCAAGTGGCTTTTTTGTCCTCAATAAACACAGGAAGAATGCCTGAAAATTCCTCAAGACAGTCAACATCCCTGATCTCCTCATCTTTCCGGCCTTGATTTCGACTTGCTAATCCATTAGCAAAATTTTGTGCATCTTCCTTTATATTTCCCTTTTCTTTATGGACCATCAAAAGTATATCAAAAACCTCACTTTTCCTCTCTGAAATTAAATCGTATACAAAATTCAGGTAGCTTTGCATCAACCCCTCTTCATTCGCAATCAAATACATTGAGTTGTTATGGTTATACTCCTCTTTCACATCTTCTATCAATTTGTAAATGCTAATTTCCAACAGCCTTGAAATATAAAAAAACAAAAGGTAGGAAATTTTTTATCATCAATTTTGTGTATGAATGAAGAATTAAAAGTGCCTTTTGGCTATCCTTAAAAGAAGAATACAAATTGTATAACAGAATGAATCGCTGCAGTTATTCTCTCTTTCAAATTTCAGTTTCGTTCTGTCCTGGAGATAAGCGTTTTTAATAAGATCGCAGAGATTGTTTTTAATGGTAAGATTAGAGAGCAAAGGAAAGATGCACTCGTATATCTGGTCAATAATGTTTCTAATTTCTAGGATCTTACTCTCATCAATATGGTCTTCAGGATCAAATCCAGAAATCAGGGAAAAGGCGCTCTGAAGGAAAAATGGCAGTTTATACTGCAGTTCGCTGTTCATCCTGAGAGTGTTTATGTCAAAATTCTGGGTCTTTACTCTCATTAGAACACTCTCATCATTCTTAGTGTAAAACCCTGCCTTGGGTCTTTCAAGACCCCACAGTTCTCTATTTTCAAGGAACTTCCAACAGTTTTTAAATCCTAAAACAAGGGAGAGATTAGAAAAGTACGTGCAAATACTCTCGCTGGTTCTAAAAGCCACAGAGTAGAGAATGTTGATGAAAATGTCTTCTCTCAGCTCGCACAGCTGTTGAACCATTTTTATCTTTTCAAAATTTCCTTTATCTATGAAGGAACACAGAGTTTGAAATGGAAAGCGTTTTAAATTGGATATTTCAATATTGTCAAACAGTACGGCCAAGGTGTCTACGACTACTTCTGGACAAAGAGTGTAGTTTTTAATGAGTGCTTGAAAATTAAATGCTTCGCTAGAAATGTAGCTAAGCTGGGCATAATCCAGGTCGTCTTTAGTATATTTTCCTGGGAAGTCACAGTTAAATACTTTTGATAGGACACTTGCATTTTCTTCTGTTTTTTTATTTTTGTAAGATTTCATAAGGGTAAAGAATCTAAGAAGTGCAAATACAAAAGATAGGAGAAGTAGAAGAGCACGAAGCAAAGAAATTTAATATTCATTGGTGTAATAAATGGAAAAATAAAAGAGCAGATACAGTAGAAAGGCATAAAAATACATGCTCCGACGGGGGTTCGAACCCCGGACCTTCGCGTTATTAGCACGACGCTCTAACCAACTGAGCTATCAGAGCTGTAAGGAATTCTCAAATGATTTAAACAAGCTTTATTTAAATATTGTGCGGAAAGTACAAGTAGCAGATAAACATAATATAAAAACTTATGCTGAACAGCCCATACGTAACAGAACTTGCTGGTGATAGACTATTTCATTTTAGTTGGTGACAATAAAATACATTTTTACTATACTAGTTTACTGAGATATCCTTTGATTTTCACTTTTTCACGCCTGTCCAACATCAAACTGTCAAGAACAAAGCTGTTTAGAAACCCTTTCAAATCAATATCATAAAGGTCTCTGCTCTTCCACTCAGCTATAAAACTATCTAACCTATCATTTTCCAGACAGTCTAAAAGAATGAATAGTCCTAACTCATAGCTTGATCCTATAAAGGTGTTTACAATCCACTCTGCTAGTTCGACACTGTACGAGTTATTACTGTACAATGCAAAGTCCTTGGGGCTACTTAGCGTTTGCAAATACATTATAATTTTAACAATTTCTTTATACTTTAGCTTGGCAAGAGAACTTCCAACCAAAAACAGATAGTATTTCTTTGAAAAGTCAGCAAGTGCATCTTTTTTAATCATGTTTTCAAACGATACGAGTCGAATGTTTGAAATTTCTGAAAAGGGTATTGAATCACACAATTCTTTCAAATCCATTTGGCTCATTTCAAGTACTTTTAGAACAGAACCAGCAATTGAGCAATCCAATGTGCTAGAAAGTAAAAAGGAGTTGGAATGAGGATTGTCTCTCAGCTTAAATGTCCCTTCATCAGTTATAGCATGCGCTTTGCCACCAATCTCTGCTATTTTTTCAATGTTATAGTGTCCTTTTACCAAAAGGAACTTTCTCATTATTCCTTCTTTCGTTAAGGGAATGCAAGTATAAACGTAAAGGTTTCTGCACACTAGTTTATTCATGTTCTAATATATAAGAGATCCAGGCAATGTTGATAATGTTTGTATAGGCAATATCGATATAATAGATAGCGTGAATATAGTATTTGAAGATAACGTTGGTACATATTAAAAATATCCTTTTACTAGGTCCCTATGCGTGCCAGATCCACGCGCCACTCGATCTATCCTGCCTGGTTCCTTTAAGAACACATCTCCATTTGACTCAAGTTCTTTCCTGATCATTGAATCAAACATGTGCATTATCCGTTTAAACTTGGTCTCGTTGGGTATGGCCATGTTNCCTAGTCCAGGTATCATCTCAAGCATTTTTTCCTCTTTGGGGTAGTGTAATAGATTAATTAAAGTATAAACAGAGCAATCACACCAAATAGATTGAGACTAAATCATGGCTATGATTGTCTATTAACAATTGAGAGTAGTGCTGGCATGCATGCTAGCTTGCCTCAGTGTTTCTGTTTCTAACCAAGTGTCAAGTTCATTGATGAGCTGTAGTTTAATAGACTGTCAACTTTAAAAGAGAATGTGTCACAACATATCAATACATGGAGTTCAATTTGCTTATCTTGGTAGTCTTTATCAACACTAAGTGTAGGAATTTTTTATTTGATTTCTATGATGTTTTTTAGACTTTAAAATTTTGTGCGATTTGTACCCCTAATGAATAATACTATGAAAAAGTCAGATGATATATCTGATATGTTTACTGGTACTAAAAACGCGCTTACAACGAAAAATGTACTGACAGTGTTACAAAGTGAGCCCTTCGGTCCGTTAATGGTAAAAATATACACGTTTTTCAGTACAGACACTGGATTGTATCTGTATCTTGGTGTTTTATGCATTGTGGTTCTACTGGCCTATTTACTGATCAATCATGAGAATTATTATAAGTACAAACCCTTCTTTATTACAGGATACTGTCTTTTGTTCTTCAAAATTGTATTCTATGTATTCACATGTGGTGTAATGTCAAGTATCATTGGAGATGTTTCATCCGCTGGTAGTCTACCAATATACTACAACATTTTATACCTGTATGGAACTAGGGTTTTATTTGTTGAATTGCTGATGCTGGGACTTTTACAAGACCTGCTTCTTTTCGAAAGAAAGAAAGAGACAAGAAGACTTACAACTCTGTTTAAGTGGTTCGTTATGATCTTTTGTATTGTAGCTAATGTGTGGTTTTATGATATTTTCTCATCGTTTTCGGACAAAGTTAGTGGTGAGGGAATGGTTGTTATTATAATAATGCTTGCAATGCAAATATTCTTACTCTGTGTCTTACCGTTCATCATTTACCTCTTATTCATGGTTGTTGAATTTCTAAAGAAAGTTGGTGATTTTGTAGAAAATGTTATTGATTACGTAATACGTAAAATAGTTGCAGTTGCCAGCCTTCTTTTTACATCTAAGTCTGTATCAAAACAAGAACAGGACACACGTAGTGGCTCTGTCTTAGAAAAAGAGACAGACGTTTTAAATCTTACGTTTAATAAATTTTGAATTTAATTAATTCACTTGACGTGTATCAAAGTTGTACTAATACTGGAAAAGCGTAAACAAGCATGTTTAATTGACATTGACTGCCATCGTCGCAATTTAACTTTCATTCGTGTATTTACTTTAGTCATTCCACCTCACTCACTCCTTTTCA